CTTTCCTAATGCCAATACTGTGGAAAGTGCTTTCTATGTTTTCCTTTAATAATTGGATGGTTTCTGGGTGCAGATTTAGGTCCTTGATCCATTTAGAGCTGATTTTTGTATAAGGTAACTGGTGGGGTGTTGCTTCTTACTTCTGTAGGCTGCCGTTCAATTGTCCCAACAGTATTTGTTGAAGAGACCAACCTTTTGCCATGGGTTGTTTTCAGCTCTCTTGTTAAAGATTTGTTGGCTGTACATGTGTGGACTCAGTTCTTTGATTTTTATTCTTATTCTCTGTTTCTGTACCAGTACCAGACTTTTTGATTTCCAATACCTTGTAGTGTCTTGCATTTTGGAATTGTGATTCCTCCAGCTTTACTTTTATTCTTCTGACATGTTTGGCTATTCGTGGTCTTCGGTGTTTCCAAATGAACTGTCTATCACCTTTGCTATTTCTTAGAACCATGTTGGGATTTTGATTGGGATTGCACTGAATCTGTATATTTCTTTTGGTAATTTGGACTTTTTGATTCCATTGATTGTGTTGATCCAGGAACAGTGTAAATTTCTCTATCCTTCAGTATCTCTTTCTGTTACTTTTTTTAGGTGTTTTATAGTTTTCACTATAGAGGTCTTCCACTTTGTTTAGGTTTATCCCAAGGTATTTAATATTCTTCTCTATTTTAAAGAGGACTGTACCTAGAAGTTCTTTCTTAGCCATGGAGTTATTTGTGTATACTAGTGCCATCATTATATTTATTGATCTTTTATTCTGCTGCCCTGGAAAATTCTCCTATTGGTTCCAATAATCTCTTAATTGAATCTTTTGGTTCCCTTATGTAGAGAACTATCTTGTTTGCAAACAGGAATTAATTTCTTGCTTCCATTTGAAATTCTTTAATTTGTTTTTCTTGCCTAATAGCTTTTGCAAAGACTTCCAATACTATGATGAGTAACATCATAAAAGTGAATATCATGAAAGTGAATATGCTCGTCTAATTCCAGATCTTAGTGGAAAAGCTTCCAATAATTTCCCCATTTAGCATGATGAAGCCATTAAGTTTTTTCATAAATTGCTTTGACTGTGTTGTACAATGTTCCTTCCATGCCTACCCTGCTTAGGGCTTTTAGCTGGAAGTATTGTTGGATTTTAACAAATGCCTTCTCTAATGAGACCATATTATTTATATTTTCAATTTGTTGATGTTGCCAATCACATTTATTGATTTGTGATGTTAAACCATCTCTGTATGCCAAGGATGAATCCTACTTGGTTCTGGTGAATGATCTAATGTATTGTTGAATTTTGTTGCATAGTATTTAGTTGAGGATTTTGCATCTATGTTCATCAGGAATATTAGCCTGTAGTGCTCTTTCTCTTTTGTGTTTTTATCTGGCTTTGATATTAAGACGGTATTGGCTTCATAGAAAGAGTTAGAAAGGATTGCCTCCCTTTTATTGATTTGAATGACTTGTGGAAGACTGGAGTAATTTCTTGAGGCATTTGGCAAAATTCTACAGTGAGCCATCTGGCTTAGGACTTGTCTTGGTTGAGAGGGATTTAATTACTGATTCAATCTTCGTCCTATTTATAGGTATATTTTAATTATTAATCGTCTCATGATTCAATTTTGGTAGATTGTATGTGTCCAAAAATCTTTTCATTTCCTCTAGGTCTTCTGATTTGTTGATTTATACTTGCTTGCAATAGTTCATCTATATTTGTTGATATATCTGTTTTTACACTTCTTTCATTCTCTGATTCTACTGATTTGTATCTTCTCTCTCTTTTTTATTTATTTATTTTTTATTAGTTGGGCTAGTAAGGAATCTATTCTGTTAAATAAAAAAAACAGCTCTTTGATTTTGTTGATTTTATGTATTTTTTCTTTTGGTCTCTATTTGGTGTATTTCTTCCCTCATTTTGATTATTTCTTTTTTCCTGCGAATTTTGGGATGTTTTTGCTGTTGTTTTGCTAGTTCCTTCAGATGTATGGTTAGCCCGTTTATTTGGTGCTTTCCTCTTAACAATACCTTGCTTATTTCCCTTAAGGTTTGATGTATTTGTGTTGATACCTTCATTCATTTCAAACAACTTCTTTATTTTCTCTTTACTTCTTCTGTAAGAAGGGATCATTGAGCAGCATATTGTTCAGTCTCCAAGTATTTGCTTGTGAATTGGAGTATTTCAACTTTTTGTTCTCCAGTTTCACTCCATGATTGTCTCACAAGAAACACAGTATGATTTCAGTTTTTCTAAATTTGCTGAGGCTAGTTTTGTGGCCTATAATATGTTCAATCTTGAAGAAGGTTCCATGTACTAATGGGAAAAAAAACCCACTTTATTCTATGTCTGTAGGATGAAAGGTTCTATAGACATCAATTAATTCCATTTGTTCTATTGTCTGGTTGGGTTCTGTTTTTCTTCACTGAATTCTGTCTCGTTGATTTGTCCATTGAGGTTAGTGGAGTTTAGGTTCCCCACTATTATTGTATAAGAGTCTAATTCTCCCTTTTAATGCACATAGCTAGGTACTCCTGTATTTTTTGCACATGTATTTATCATGGCAATTTCTTCTTGCTGAATGGATTCCTTGATCATTATGTGGTGTTCTTCTTCATTTCTTAATTCTGTTCACTCCATAGTCTATATTTTATAATGTTAGAATGGCTACACAGCTTGTTTTTCTTTTCCATGAGCCTGGAATATTTTTTTCCATCCATTCACTTTCAGTTTCTTCATATCTTTTTTGTTGAGATGCATCCCCGGTAGGCAATAGTAAATGAGTTTTGTTTTCTGCTCCAGACAGATAATCTATGACCGTTGGTTCATGAGCTTAAGCCATTTTCATTGATGGGTAATATTAATAGGTAGTGATTTGGCCCTGCCATTTTAGCAATGGGTTGCTCATTGTTTGATTTAGTCTTCTTTTGTCACTTTATTGGGACTTTTTCCATGTTTGTCTTCAATTTTGGTAGGTATTATTCTTTTCTATGTCAATAGGACACCTTTAAGTAACATTTGTGGGGCAAGTGTAGTAGAGGTCAAGTCTTTGAAATTTTTGTTTGTTGAGAAAGAATTTTCTTTCATTTTTAAAGAATTTCTGGGTTATTGTTGGGTTATTCTGGGCTGACAATTTTTTTTTCTTTTAGAATCTGGAATATATCACTCCATTCTCTTCTGACCTGTACAGCTTTCTTTGAGAGTTCAGCTATGAGGTCCTCTATGAACTGATTTTTTTCTGCACACATATTTAAGTATTTTTTTCTTATGTTCTTTTTTTTTTCTTAAAGATTTATTTTTATTATTTTTTTATTGGAAAGGCGGATATACAGAGAGGAGAGACAGAGAGGAAGATCTTCCGTCCGATGATTCACTCCCCAAGTGAGCGCAACGGGCCCATACTATGCCTATCCGAAGCCAGGAGCCTCTTCCGGGTCTCCCACGCGGGTGCAGGTTCCCAAAGCTTTGGGCTGTCCTCGACTGCTTTCCCAGGCCACAGGCAGGGAGCTGGAAGGGAAGCGGGGCTGCTGGGATTAGAGCCGGCGCCCATATGGGATCCCAGGCGTGCAAGGCGAGGACCTTAACCACTTGCGCCACCGCACCGGGCCCTTTCTTATGTTCTTATGATGAGAGTTTGAATATGATGGGTCATGATAAGGCTCTCCTTTGGTCAATTCCACTGGGAGTTCTGTAGCATTCCTGTATTTTGTTTCCCACTTCTTTCCCTACATTATAGTCGTTCTTTTTTATTATTTCATCTACTGCATGTTTGTATCCAGCTCCCATTTCTGTGCCTTCAGGCACTCTCCTATAACTCATATTCAGCCTTTTGCTTTTCTTAGCTTCTTCATCCAGCTTTTCAACTCTTTGGAGTTATTGCTGAAGATGTCTTCCAATTCTGTGATTCTTTCTTTTGCCTCACTCATTCTGTTATTAATGTTTTCCATTGAGTTTTTAACAGAAAGGCTTTTTTTTTTGCTGTATTGCATGCTTCATTTCTAATAATTCAGCTTGATTTTGTTTCAGTGTTGTCGTTTCCTGTGTAACATATGCCTTGACTCCTGTACATGCTTTTTGTTGGTTTTAAAGACTTTATAATTTTAGAAATATGTTCATTCGGTAGTTCCTCAATTTCTTCTTTGACTAACTTTGAATTTGACAGGATTTGTACCTTTGTAGGAAAGACGTCACTAACCTTATTCTTTGTTCCCATGTCTCTTCTTTTGCACAAAGTCATTGCAATTCTGATTAGCAAATTCTCCTTAGCTCTGATTTTTAAGCTATTATCCAAATGTCGACACTCTGACTTTACTGATCTCATTCAGTGACTGGGTCTTCATTTGCTATCACCTGTGACACTCTCCTCAGTAAGTCACATTTCCAGGCTCCCATGATAATTGTCCACCATGGTCACCCCAGCAGGGGCCCCTGGCTGAGCATGCTCTACCCCCTGTAATCCTCTGCTGTGGCCACACCATTTGGTGCTCAGCCTTTCTCCTGCTCCTGTTTCTAGCAGAATTTGGAATTAGTGAGACGGCAGTGGTGAGTGTAACCTACATAACAGGATTGTCAGTGTGCCCATTATATAATTTTTTCCCCTTTTTTCTTCTTTAAACACATAAAGAACATTTGAGGCATTCCAAGCCTGCTCAAATCTTGGCCACACCTTCAAGAGGGTGGCACAAGCATTGCCAACCTACTTCTTAACTGGTTAGGAGACCACCAATGGAGAACCTTTTATCTGTAGGTTCCTGCTCAACAAGGAGGGCTCAGGGAAGGCTTAAACCACAAGACTCTTCCTCAAACTTTTTCTGTCTCTCCCTCTCTCCTTTCGGGGGGCATCCCACCTCCCAACTTACTCTCAGGAGGTGCTTTCCCCTTCCCTCTTCTTTCCACGCTCATTTTATTTCTATATTAAATCGAGTAAAGAACCCATTGAGCTCTTCTGGTAACGCATTGTGACATGGTACTAGTTAAGAAAACAGAGCCATAGTATCTCTTGGCTTACCGGTCCATGGCATGTAAGGAGGCCATCTTCCATCTTCTCACATTGGGGGTCACACTCCACGCAGATGGAGCCATTCTCAAACTCCCGAAATTCACTGTGAAAACATCAGCCGCATGAGGAGGCGTAAGCAAATAAGCTGTCAACTTAATAAATGAAGTAACATCTGCTAAAACTCCTACTGGCAGGGTAAATACTAGAGTCTGTTTCTCCATGAGCCAGGAGCATCAGAAACATTTCCCTCTACATTAAGGGATAAGTTTTCCATTAGGAGAAAAGATAAAGTGAAGCCAGATGGCTCTTGCCCTCCATTGGATTCAATGATAGACTCATTCTGGAAACTTGTCTCCTGTGAGAGAGATTCTCGCAGTCTAAAAATAAGAAAGCACAATATTTTGATGACATGGCAAAACTGCCTTCTTCAGTAAGGCCGTGCCTGTTTGCCTCACTGTAAAATTTTGCTCCTGGCTGAAGCCTTAATTTCCAAACTTTGAAAGAACTATTATAGTTTTCTTGTTGCTAAGTTACATGAACGTTCATCATTCTTGTCCTTCAAGTCCCAAGACTCTTCAATTTATTTTTGGTGAAACTTCAAAAAATGCTTTGATTTCCTTTCTTCTTTTAAAATATCTGCCTTGGAGATTTAGAAAAAAAAGCTTTTCATGGTAGATTTTATTTTCCCAGATTATTGATCTAATATCACAACATCTTTCTTTAGCGTACATTCTTTTTGAAGTAATTCTATACGGTATACATTAAGAAAAAAGTTTAATGGTAATATCCTCAAACTTTTTAACTAAAATTCACTGCTATGATGATCATCTTCTCCATTATTCCTATGTTTTTGTGGATATGTGCACATTCTGAGTATTTACATTATCAAAAATGTCTACTCCAAATTTTTCACAACATTGATTAAATTTCAGTTGGGAACAATATAGTCAAGTCAGCCCATTCTTGCTGATACTTATCTGAAAATGAGATACTAGGTAAAGATCATTTATAATGTCATTTGCAAGTCATTAATAAAATTTTGACTAAATATCTAAAAGTACACTTTTGTGCTTTATATCATAATTTATCCTTCCAAATCAATATAATTATAAATATGGCAATATTTGATTAATTAGGAAATAGCACAAATAGTTATGCCTAGCCTTAAAGGCTCATGTTTTACTCATTTAAGTGTTTTTGTCATAATAAACCACTGGACTCCAAAGGGTTGAGCATTGATTTTTGAATAAGAGGTTGAATATTAAGACTATATCTTTTCCATGATAAAATAGATAAATGTATTTTTTTTAAATAAACAGCACATATGAATAGATGGCCTAGTTATGTGCATTATGCATAGTTAGTTGCATTTTTAAGTAGGATACTACCTTGCTACAAATCAAATCTTGTGAATTTTCTTGAGTTTAAAATCTCAATTGTAGGGAAACACCACTTCCTGTGATGCCAGCATCCCTTTTAGATATCAGTCTATATCCTTACTGCTTACTTCTGATCCAGCTCCCTGCAACTGGGCCTGGAAAAACAGCAGAAGAAGGCCCAGTTGTCTGGAACCCAGATATCACTGTGGAAACCTGAATAAAGCCACTAGTTTTGGCTTGGCTGCATAGTGGCCATTCCAACCATCTGTGAAGTGAACCAGTGGATGGAATTTATCAATCTCTCTTTGTAACTCATTCAAATAAATAAATGCATAAGCAAATATCAGTAACATTAAAGCAAACTTTGTTTTTGCTTTAAACATTTTTTTTTTGTTTTTAACACTTGTAATGTTCACTGACATGAATGTTACAGAGTTCTCAAAATTGGAGAAATGTTCAGAATATAAAGGTCAAAGTTACTGAATATGGTGGAAAGGAATAGTTAAAATGCAAATGAAATTAGAAGCATGGTTTGTATAGTTTTATATTATGACATTTACAGCAAAGCCTCTGATCTTTAGCTAATCGTCGGTTTTAAGGTTATGGTACTATATGAAGATTCTAAGTCTTAAATTGTTAAAACATGGGCAATGCTTTTCTTACTCTTCTCCACAAGCCCCTTCCTCACATCTAAAGTCGAAGGACAAATGTATTTGCTATGGTTTGGGGAAAGGTTTGGCTGTCTCCCAAAAGGTTAATACATTACTGATGAAATACTGATGTAGCTATGGAAACTCAGATGCAGGCCTGGCAGCACTTTTTCAGGTCCAGGTGATTGAATCCACACAGAGGGATCCAGAGAAGCTAGTTCAGCCTAGTTTCCCTCTGGGATTCCAGGCCCCACCGCCCCCTGCATGAGTTCTACCATACCCATCAGGTGCTGGATCTTGAACTAGAACTCTCCAAAATAATAAACTGGAATACAGTTTTGCCTTTTTGAATTAGCTCTTTTTAGGTATTTTAATTACAGAAGCAAAATTCTGAGTGATACATAAAATTGGACCTTTTCGGGATCATTACTGTTGATTATGCCAGATGTGGAAGATACATCGGGATCTGTTTACCGGGAGCGGTTGAAGGAGATGGAAGGAAGAGTCTAGTGAAGTGTTTCAGGAAATTCGGACATCTTAGAGGATTAGAATGCTGGCAGAAATATAGACAGTTAAGGCTTTAGGCTGATGAAATCTCTGATTGGAATCAAAAGTTTCTTGGACATTAGTCTAAATGTCATCCTTGTTACAGAGTGGCAAAGATTCTGGCTTTCTTATGCCCATGTTTTGTGACTATGAGGGAGGCTATATTTAAAAATGATGAGCTGCTTTGATAGCAAGGAGTTCAAGGCAGCAAAGTTTTCAGGCTGCATCATGGGTGGAAACATTAGGAACATTTTGAGTCTAACCACAGAAAAGGAAATAACAAGCATGTTTGAAACAGGAAAATGAGATGCAAAAATTGCCTACTAATACAGCAAGTGCAAACAGCAGGCACCGTGTACTTCATCTCTCAGTCACTTCAGAGATCATCTAGGCAGTCCATTCCTTCACAGACCCACCACGGATTCAGGAGGAAAAATATGTTTAAAGATTCCCAGGAAGAATCTTTTTAAGAAAGAACACCACAAGGAAACTCTCTCAGGATTAGCTTCAGATTTGGGTTTACCAGGCAAAGCAGGGCTGCTGGTGTGGCAAACCCATTGAGGAGGAAAAGGTATCAACTCATACCTTGAGGCAGCTTCTACTGAGATTTCAAAGGGAAGCCTGCAGTTCCAAGCAGAGTCATACCACAGACTTGGAACCTCTGCATGTAACAATGGAGTTGCAAGAATGGAACTGCAGAGAGGGCAGCTGCAGAGTAGACATGCCAACAGTGTGAGGTATCCACTAAGGAAAAGAAAACAACATGCCGGGAAAGCCTGGCAAAGTCACTAACATCACTGCACAGCCTCCTAAGAGTAGCCACATGGGCAAAGCTCAACAGAGCCAGGAGACATGGAAGTCTCTCACCTATATTACAAAGGATGCTCTTGAAACTACAAGCCTAGAGATTGGTCCCAGGGGGTAAATTCTTGCAAAGAATCTCCCAAGGGCTATGGTGAGGTTAGAGCTGCTGCAGAGCAACAAGCCCTCCACCCCCCACCACCCTCCACCCATGCCTGGGGCAGTATCAGGTGGATCTGCAAAGATGAGATGCAACCTGAGAGAGCTGAGATGAGTTCTGTCTTGCAAAGCTACAGGTGTGAGGCTGCTCAAGCTGTCAACGACCCAGTCCCTAAGCACTGCACTCCTACATGCTAGGCATGGAGTACAAGAACTTGAAGTTTGTCTGCTAAATTGTGGTTTGGATTTGGCCCAATTAATCCTTTTCCACTTGGGGGATTTCACTTTTAGAAATGAAAACACATGACCTGTGCCATCTTTGTATCTTAGAAGAACGTAACTTGGTTTTTGAGTGTGTATGCTCACAGAAAGGAGAGTTTACTTTCAGGGTAAAATGAGACTATGGATCTTGGATTTTTGGATTAATGTTGGATTAAATTCAGATTTTAGGACTTTTTTTTTTGTTTGTTTCTTCTAATGGAAGACTGAAGAGAGAGACATCTAGGGTTGAGATAGTATGTTCTGATTCACTTCCCAAATTCCAACCCAAAGCCAGATCCAGGAACTGTATCTTATCCTTTTCTATGGGTCTTCGGGGTTCAAATTCTTAAGCATTATTTACCATCTCTGAGGCTCAGTCCACTATGCTGAACAGAAAGCATGAAGTACCCAGGACATAAATTAGGCACTTTGTGGGCATTCTTAGTAGTGGCTTAATCACTTGACCTCTGTGACTCATCTTTATTTTCAGACTTCTGAGGCTAGAATAATTACCTACTGTATCTGAGCAGACATTAAAATTTGGGAGTCAAAACAAATGTTACAGTTTAAATAGGATCTGGCTACCCCAAATCGTGCAGATGTTTACACCTAATGTCTTATGCTAATGGTTAATGGCTTAAGGGTAAAGATTGATCTAATTATGACAGCTGGCCAGAGGTTTTTTTCTGGTCATAGGAAGTGTGTTTTTGGAAGACCGATGTGCAAACTTAGCTTATATAAGTTTACCTTGCTTCCTGGGTCTTCATTATTTCCTGGGTCAGCTCAGTGATGCTCCCTCCGCATGACATCACCCTCCCTACTATTGGATCTTAGACTGGGAGCCCTTAAAATTGCAAGCAGAAGTAAAGCTTCCTTCCTCACAAGCTCCTTTCACATGTTTTACTTAAGGTAACAAAAGGCTGACAAAGAGTTCTGGTTGCTCGTTTCATGAAAATTCAGACAAAACCTGTTGCCTTTTCTTCCACAGATTTCCAGTCCTACAGCTTTTCACTCTCTTGTTCTGAGAAGACCCTTAACTCGCATTGTGCATGAGTCGCAGATGGCTTAGCATCCAGTTTTTCCTAAATTTAAATCCAAAAACTAACACTTATTTTGTATTTGCTTTAAATACTTTGACTGCTATGCTTCTGCTTTCTACATATTCTCTGAAAAAGGGGAAAATAGTGTTTCATTTAGAGTTTGCAATTATTAGATGCAAAAATGCCTGGGAAGATCTTAGAGTAGTATTCTCTTTGATGCCCCTGTGTTGATCCTAAAGTTTCAGCAGAGTTGCCAGATAAGAAAAGTTTGAAGGTTCCATTGAAAATTACCTTTCTCTTTCATTTTGATTGCATTGTAGTTAAGAGTTGCTGAAATACAGTGACTTCTATGACCTGGATTTGAATGCTAATCAGCAGCAATTGACTGCTTTTCTTTTCTTTTTTTCAAGATTGTTTCAAAAGTCCTCTTTTTAGGATTTCTGTCCTCCTAATATCCAAACTTATTTATATAAATAAGCTTCCTTGATTTTGGTAAATGTGTATGTGTACTGTTAACAGACAAGAGAATAATGATTATAGTATTCATTGTAGGGACACTAACAAGAGCTTTTTATGAATTTTCTCATAGGATAATCAATCACAACCATCCCACAAAGTTGACACTATTATCATTCCAATTTTTTGGTTAAAAAAAAAACAAAACTGAGTTTAGAATTGAAAGGTTTTTGTCTCAGATTGACAGAACACAGCAAGAGCTAAGTTAGGATTTGATTTCATTTTCTTTCGAACACGGTATTAACTACAGAGCAAAGTAGAAACAGGCCAACATCACACAGTCACAGAGGGATCCAACTCTGAACAGGCAGGGACTGCATCAAATTTTACAAGATGCTTTTACTGATCACCTTTTGGAATAACCTACTATGATTTTTTCATTTAAAACTTTATATTGGGCCCGGCGCGGTGGCGCAAGTGCTTAAAGGTCCTCGCCTTGCACGCCCGGGATCCCATATGGGCGCCGGTTCTAATCCCGGCAGCCCGCTTCCCTTCCAGCTCCCTGCCTGTGGCCTGGGAAAGCAGTCAAGGACGGCCCAAAGCTTTGGGAACCTGCACTCTGTGGGAGACCCGGAAGAGGCTCCTGGCTTCGGATCGGCATAGTATCAGCCCGTTGCGCTCACTTGGGGAGTGAATCATCGGATGGAAGATCTTCCTCTGTCTCTCCTCTCTGTATATCTGCCTTTCCAATGAAAAAATAATAAAAATAAATCTTAAAAAAAAAATTTTTATTTATTTAACACATCTGATGAAAATGATGTAAATATGGGACATGTCAAATGTAATGTCAGAAGAGTCTTATAACCAGTGTTCATTTAAGAAATTAACATGTTTCCATCAGGGTGCTTCCTCTGTTTTGCAGAAACATATTCAGAAAAAAGCAAAGATCCACATATTTATGAATCCATTTTCCCTATAAGCTCAATACTAGCATGTAAAAAAAATGTCATTTTGGAACACAGTATGAAAATCAAATTTTCTGAGCCTTAATGCTAATTTGACTCTCTGCTTTGGTTGTGAATTTAGTTACTTTTTACTTACAATAATTCCTACCACTACTTACAACAGTTTTGACTGATTAAAATCTCTCTTTAAAACTGATCAGATATATTCAATACATTTTTAATGTAACATTTGCCTAATGAAATCAAAGTCTATTACGCTGAATGTCAATGACTGTTGCACAAGCAGGATCGTTTTGATCTTACAGTTATTATTTATGGAACACATCCTGATAACAATGTGGATAATTGTAACTGCAATACAATGAGACAAGTAGCACATCACAATTTGTTGTGAATTATCAAATCTGGAAGCCAATTGTAACTTAGAAAGTTATTTATTGACATGGACATCTTCCTGAAAGATGACTCAGTCTTATACTAATTTATTTTATAGTTAAAACCGTAACTTAATCCCACCAAAATTACATAAAGTAAATTGATTTTGATCATCTTGTTAGTAAAACACATATTATGTTTTTATCTACAGTTTTCTTTTTGTCCTTTAGATGTCAAAAGAAAAACTGCAGTGTTACCAAGGAACATGAAAATAGTCTTTAAAAACTGGAAAATTCATGAGATTTGAGAAGAAGCAAACAAAGAAACAAAAACCTTGAGACTAACAAATTAAAATTGTTGAAATACTTTAAGTGAGCAAGATAAAGCAATAAGATTTGGGCATAGTACTAAAAATGCATTACCTACTAATGAAAGATAACTATATTGTATAAAATGCTAAATAGTAATAGAGTGATTTTATGGGTGCATGAAACACTGTGCAATAAGATATACAGCAGGTTTTACAACTGTCAATGTGATTATTGTAATACCAGAGGAAATTTAAAATGCTGACTTTAAAGTAGTGCTTAGATTACATGAAAAAATTCAGAACATTTTCAAAGACCTATTCAGGCAGAAATTACATATGTAGTTATTGTATAAGGCTAAGCAGTTGTCAAAGATACATAAGTAAGATTCATTTTTAAAACAGCAATAGACATAAAATACTTGCATAAAAATAAAATGTTATCATATCAGATGAAAATTAATACTAAAGTACGAAAGACAAAAAGTTCAGATTATCAGGACCTATTGGAGGTAAGATTCCATATAATAATTGCTTTCATTTAAAAAAACACATTTTTAAAGTTTTCTTAAATATATTGCCATGATTTATTAAGAATTGTCTCACCACACATTATTAAGATGCAAATACTAACTAATAGACTTGATATTTGAAATAAAATGGTTCTTCAAAATAATTTTTGTCTCCTTTATGTACCTTGCAGTTAAATCTTGGCCCCCACAGTGAATCTGAAATTTCACTGTTTTCTTGTCATTTGAAAGCCAGTTAATGTGGTAAAGGAAATGCTGTAAGATGCCTTACCCATCATAGAGGTTGCAGGACTCAATGCAGACCTTTCCTCGGCTGAAGCGGCGGCATGACAAGCACTGGTCTGGTCCAGGTCCCCAGCAGCCATCATTTGAACACAGATGGTTGCACACCATCCCTTCAGCAGCTGCCAAACACACCCAAATCAAGGAAAATAAAAAGACAAGATTGTATCAAAATTTACAATCTTTCAAGGTAAAGCTATTTACAAACAAACCAGTTCAAAAGAGATTTTTATCAAAACAATTTTGATTTCCTACTCATATCAAAATATCCTACTCCAAGTTTTTCCCTATTGAGGAGTTCTAATCATTTTTTTTTTGTATAGTAATGCCAAACTTTTCATAACACTAGATAAAGGTCAATTGTTGCTATGAAGACTATAAAGAGAACAAGTGGTAGGAATTAGCTTTCCAAGCTAAGTACCTAATTATATCTTTCCCAAGGGAATACTTTGCTCCATTAATGCATCATACTAGCTTCAATTCAATCTGAGAGCTTTAGGAAGGACAGGAAAAAGCTGCATATATGTGGGAATACGATAGAAACTAAAGAGAAAACAAAAGAAGAAAAAGAAGGGGGCTGACATGTGGCATTGTAGCAAAATGAGTAAAGAAAATAACTGCAAAGTCTCCATTCTTAAGTAGATGATGGTTCTTGTCCCAGTGATTCTCTTCCAGCCCTGCTTCCTGCTGATGGCCTTGGAAAGGCAGCAGACTGTCAAAACAGTGGAGGAAAATAGGATGGAGTTCTTCACTGCTAGATTCGATCTTATCTTGATATGTTTGCTGTGGCCATTAAGGAAGTGAGGAACCAATGAATGGAAAATCAGTCTGTACTGCTCTCTGCTTCCGATCACCTTCTCCAGTGCCTCTGACTTACAAATACATTAAAAAAAAATTTTTTTTAAAGAAGGGTATTTGGAAGGCCATAGAGTACAGGAAAGGTGTTGAAATAAAATAGAAGAAGCGTTTTTTAAAACTTCTGCTACTGTCTAATCCTATCTTGATATTAATCAGGTTGGTACAAGGAACGAACAAGTTTTGAAAGTATATTCAAAAACTGCAGTGGTTATTTATGAGTAATGTAGATATTAAAATAATAACTATCATGTTCTCTCTCATTTCTGCTTTCTGCTGATGGGAAAAGTATCAAAGTACTTGAAGACTATGTTTTATAATTGGCACTTAAGATTTACCAGCCCAGTCCCTCTTTATACTGAATAGCATTTATACGAAACAAGGGCTCCCCAGAATTTTACTCAGATGTCCTAATAAAACTGTACTGAAAGATAGCAGATATTGGAAGAAAAAGTCTAAAATAATATAAATATGATTACTGGTTTCTAACAAGTGATTTCAGCCATCTAAAGCACAACTAACTGCAATATTAAGAATTAGGATGGGCACAGTGTTGAAGCGAGCTGATCTTCCATGCTATGGACCAGCATCCCAAATGGGCACTGGTTCACATCCTGGCTGCTTCAAGTCCAGTACAGCTCCCCGAAAATCAATATTGTGGGAAAGCAGAAGAGGATGGTCCAAATCCTTGGGTTCCTGGTCCCATGTGGGAGACACTGAAGAAACTCCTGGCTCCAAACTCTGGCCATTGAGGCCATTTGGGAGTAAACCAGTGGATAAAAGACTTCTCATTCCTCTCTATAAAATCTGTCCTTCAAATAAATTAAGCAGATCTTTAAAAAAATATATTATTAGAAATTACCAAGAAAATGTAAACATCAAAATCATTTTTGCGTCCTTGCTAATTACCAATTCATGCAAGATATTCTGGAGAGTGAATCTGTGGGTACACTGGGAGGCCACTGAATGTTCTAGAAATATAAGCAAGGATCCTGACTGAAGTGTGTGGAAGTTAACTTTTCTAATGTGCTTACGAGTGAATTGCCAGCATCTGTGATCCTGACTAGTTTTGAAACAGGAAACGGATCCTCACATCAATGTTCTCTTTTTCCTATAGTCGGGCTGTTTGCACGTTCCTATGTCAAGATGGGTAAAATGTTTTCTAAGGGCCCACTCAGGCCTAACAACAGAGCCTTTCACTTCATAACCATGTAACTAAATAATCTCTTGCTGTGTTGTTTATTAAAGGTCTGTGAAGCAGTTTTATTGAAATATATGACATAATATATACTGCTTAAATGTACAACTTGATGAGCTTGACATACATATGTACTCTCAAACCACATCCACGTTCAAGATCATGAGTGTATCCATTACCTCCAAAAGATTCCTCAGATATGGACATAAGCCTGCACCCTGACACCACTCCGCTGGGGAAGCCACTGGCGTTTTCTATTACTCGTTGTCTACTAGTTTGCATTTTTTTAGAATTTTATAGAACACAATTATTTAGAATATGTTCTTTTCTATGGGTTCTATCAGTCAGCATGATTTTTAGGGCTGCATCTATGTGACTTTATGTAGTAACAAGTTATTCATCCTACTGCTGTGTATATATTGCTTACATTATTCCACACATTTAATATACTCACTTATTGATAGGCATTAGACTGTTTCCCATTTTGGGCTATTAAAATGCATCTAACTTGACCTTCTGTTGACAAGCCATTCCAGAAATAGACACTCTCATCTCTGGGAGAGCAGTGGAATGGCTCTACAGCGTGGCAGGGATGGGGTTAGTTTTGTAAGACACTGATCATGTATTTGTCAAAAGCTTGTGATGGTACATTTTCATCAGTGAGGAACATAACTGGAAGCTGCATGACACCACTCTTTTGTCCACACTTGATATGGTGAGCAGTTCAATTTTAGCCTGGATGTTAGGTGTGGGAAACTCAGTGCAGTTTTTATTTGTACCTTTGTAAGTGACGATGCTGTGAACATATGTTTGTGTCAATATTAGCTTCTTTCTTTTCAGTATGTGTAAAGAAGTACTGGCTCATATGGGAACAGCATCCAAACCGGTTACTGCTTCTCAAGCAAAGGACCAAAATGTCCTACAGAGCACGTGTACCGTATCATGTCTGAGAAGCAGAGTATGTTATTTTATATCACTACATTTCTCCAGAATTTCACTTTGTCATTAAAAGAAATACTCTGATAGCTTTAGGGATAGACATCTAATTTGAAAATTTTGTAAAACAGCTAATAACCTTGGATACTTTTTATTAAGCTTATTTGCAATCACTCCTATACATTCTCCAGAGAAATAGCCCTTCATATCTTTGCTGATTGCATTATTTGTTACTGAGTGTTTTGATTTCTTTTTTCTTTCTTAAGATTTATTTTATTTTCATTACAAAGTCAGATACACAGAGAGGAAGAGAGACAGAGAGGAAGATCTTCCATCCGATGATTCACTCCCCAAGTGAGCGCAACGGCCGATGCTATGCCAGTCCGAAGCCAGGATCCAGGAACTTCCTCTGGCTCTCCCACAAGGGTGCAGGGTCCCAGAGCTTGGGCCGTCCTCCATTGCTTTCCTGGGCCACAAGCGGGAGTTGGATGGGAAGCAGGGCCACTGGGATTAGAACTGGTGCCCATATGGGATCCTGGTGCGTTCAGGGCGAGGACTTTGGCCGCTAGGCCATGCTGCTGGGCCCTTGGTTTTTTTATATAATTTTCTTTTCACTTATCTACAATGTATATACCTATATATCAAATATCTATTATCTGATTTTTGTGGAGCAAATATTTTTAACTTAAAGTAAGTCTAATTTAACCATTTCCCCTTTCTTTCAAGGTAAAATGTTTCATTTGCTTAGTCTACATCCCAAATAGTTGCACTATTTTTTCCCTTGAAAGTTCTACAACTTTGAATTTTATATTTAAGTCCATTATCTGCTTTTATATAGCTGTATAATTTAAGATCCACTTGCTCCAGCACCATAAACTCTATAAACAATCTTTCCTTCAGTTAGACAACTTGACTTCTCTATTCTGCTTATTCATTTGTGTGCTTATTCCTCCCCTAACACAACATGCTCTTAAAATTATAGCTGTGATGGGCCCAGCACTATAGCGTAGTAGTTAAAGTCCTCGCCTTGCATGCACTGGGATTCCATATGGGCGCCGGTTGTAAACCTGGCAGCCCTGCTTCCCATCCAACTCCTTCCTTGTGGACTGCGAAAGCAGTCGAGGACAGCCCAAAGCCTTGGGACCCTGCACCCATGTGGGAGACCTGGAAGAGCTCCTGGCTCCTAGCTCCTGGCTCCTGGCTTTGGATTGAGGTAGCACCGGCTGTTGTGGACACTTGGGGAGTGAACCATCGGACGGAAGATCTTCCTCTCTGTCTCTCCTCCTCTGTATATCCACCTTTCCAATAAATAAATAAATAAATAAATAAATAAATAAATAAAGTTATAGCTATGTTAGAAATATTGACATCAGTAGACTGAATGCTTCACTTAAATGCCTTTTTGGCAAAGCTGCATATCAATTTGGTAGAATTAATCATTTTATGATTTTGATTCTTTGATTATAAACACTGAAATTTGTATGTACATCTAGATGTTTCCTGCATTCTTTCATCACTAGTTGTAGTTCCAGTGATAATCAATCTATCTGTAGTTTAGATTTCTATATCCATCTGTAATTTCTAGTATTCAGATACAATTTTATATCCTAGAATTATCTTAAATTCATCTATTTGTTTTAGATGTGTTTTGTGTCGACAAACAGGCAACCAGCAGACAGGGCTGGTTTTACTTCTTTCTTTTAAATGACTGTGGCTCATTTTCTTTTTCCTTTTTTTTTTTTTATGGTCCCATTCTGCTGATTAGAACTTACAATAGATAGGAATAGAGCCCTTTTCCTTTTTTTTTTCCATTGGTGTCAAGAGTGACACTGTGGTCAGTTTCTGCCCATCGGTCCCCTCCCTTCCCCCACACTGTGTAACTGACTGGAGTGGAGCAGTGGCTGTCACCTATCTGTCTTGCTAATCTGCTTCCACCTGGTCCTCTGGGTAGACAGAAGAGAATTTTGCTGGGGAATATTTGGTCTATACCAATCAGCATTTCTACATCTGGCTTCTATGAAAGAAAAGTAAAACCCAGGACCTCATGTCTGTCATTCTTTGGATTCTACTTTCCCCAAATGGTCTACTTCTTTCTATCCAGCTTTCAGAATCTTACGCTTCTTTTATAATGTT